TCGACCGGGTACTGCTTACCTTCTGTTGTTTTCGATGTAATATAACCGTAACAGCCACCATGCACGCACATGAAATTTTTTATATGCCTATGCACTAGTTCACTTCATCCACCGACTTCACGATGTCACACATCACACGTGCAACATTCACTTTTTCGCGAATTTCGTTTGCAGACATTGTACTATTTTGAAGAAGTTCTGTAACCCGAAATGCCCAACGACACAAACAAAACTAAATTATGCCAATGAAAATTTACCTATACATATCCTTTTTTACAACCTTTACCTGTACGTATCCTTTTTGTTTACAACCTAAAGATTACAGAAAATTCCGTTACAATTGTCTATTTTACCCGGACATTCTTGCAAACAGCCCAACATAATAAAAAAATGTATACACGGATTTAACAAAACAGTCATATTAATGAGGGCATGAAAAGAGACTGATAATTTCATCTCACGGTAATCAATATCTGTTCAATGCCTAATGCTGTTTTACAACATCACATCGCCTTCCGATGCAAAACAGAGTATAGCCCGCGTTTATATTTACATACAGCCGTCAATATTTTACATAGGGCAATGTCATCAGTATTTTTACTGTACCATCAGTTTCGACTAATCTTTCCATCAATATCAGTAACCTTATACATTAATAATTACTAACGTCTATATTGTTATATTCCGTATTACAAATACACAAAACCAGTATTGTATAAGTTTACTCAATAACATTCACATCACCCTGAGACATCGACGCACAACCTTTGTCGCGTTGTCATTTTGCACTATGACAGCTGTCTGATCCAAATGAGGATGTTAGAATATGTTAAATAAACGTCATTCGCACAAAAAAAATTATCGGATACTGATCGAAGTGCGGATAGGGGCCTTCCGGACTTCATTGGGGCAAACCGCTTGGTGGGTGGTCAGAATATGATAAATAATCACAATTTATCGAAAAAAATCCTGGACCTAACTCGATTTTGGAAAAGTATGATTTTTTAAGTATATACTCTGCGTTAAGTGCCCTAGGGGCTGAAAAACAATGTTCCGGGGCACACTCGGCAAAGCCTCTTTGTGGGCTGCTAGAGTAGCATAATTGCACGAGATACACTCAATGAAATCCTGGACCTAAGTCGATTTTCCCAAATGATAGGTGATTGACAGAATTCTGATCGAAGTGCGGATAGGGGCCTTGCGGACTTCATTGGGGCAAACCGCTTGGTGGGTGGTTAGAATATGATATATAATCACGATTTATCGAAAAAAATCCGGGACCTAACTCGATTTTGGAAAATTATGATTTGTTTCATATATTTATACACCCCGTAAAGTGCCCTAGGGGCTGAAAAACAGTGTTCCGGGGCACACTCGGCAAAGCCGCTTTGTGGGCTGCTAGAGTAGCATAATTCTACGAGATGCATGCAATCAAATCCTGGACCTAAGTCGATTTTCCCAAATGACAGGTGTTTGAGCGAATTCTGATCGAAGTGCGGATAGGGGCCTTCCGGACTTCATTGGGGCAAACCGCTTGGTGGGTGGTTAGGATATGATATATAACCACGATTTATAGAAAAAAATCCTGAACCTACCTCGATTTTGGAAAATTATGATTTTTTTCGTATATACACCGCGTTAAGTTCCCTAGAGGCTGAAAAACAATGTTCCGGGCACACTCGGCAAAGCCTCTTTGTGGGCTGCTAGAGTAGCATAATTCTACGAGATACATGCAATCAAATCCTGGACCTAAGTCGATTTTCCCAAATGACAGGTATTTGAGCGAATTCTGATCTAAGTGCGGATAGGGGCCTTCCGGACTTCATTGGGGCAAACCGCTTGGTGGGTGGTTAGAATATGATATATAACCACGATTTATCGAAAAAAATCCTGAACCTAACTCGATTTTGGAAAATTATGATTTATTTCGTATATACACCGCGTTAAGTTCCCTAGGGGCTGAAAAACAATGTTCCGGGGCACACTCGGCAAAGCTGCTTTGTGGGCTGCTAGAGTAGCATAATTCTACGAGATACATGCAATAAAATCCTGGATCTAAGTCGATTTTCACAAATGACAAGAGTCTGATCGAATTCTGATTGAAGTGCGGATAGGGGCCTTCCGGACTTCATTGGGGCAAACGGCTTGGTGGGTGGTTAGAATATGATAAATAATCACGATTTATAAAAAAAAATCCTGGAACTAGCTCGATTTTGGAAAATTATGATTTTTTTCGTATATACACCGCGTTAAGAGCCCTAGGGGCTGAAAAACAATGTTCCGGGGCACACTTGACAAAGCCACTTTGCGGACTGCTAGAGAAGCATAATTCTACGAGACACATGCAATAAAATCCTGGTCCTAAATCGCTTTTCGAAAATGATGAGCCTGTTTTCAATGTGTTTAATATTAAAATTGAGGTAAGGGGTATTTTGGGGGGGCTGTGTTTCATATACCTCAGAATGATGTAAATGAACAGTGGAATTATTTCAGCTATATTCTCCAATCTATTTTTGAACAGGTCTTTCCTATGAAAACAATTAAGTTACGAATAGGTTCACTGACTCGCATCATCCTGAGATGATAAAGAATAATATTGCAAGGACCATCTGGATGTTCTATATGTGATTAGCAACAGTAACAACTCTTAAGCCATGCTATAATAAAGTTAGAAAAGAGTACAATCAATTATTAGCGGATGCCAGATATGTCGTATCAAAGACGCATAGAGGAGTCGGACAATAAGTCAAAATGTGTTTGGGGTATTGTAAAGGAAATAAAAGGTCAAACTAGAAATGATTGTGTCATACCAGGTGATCCTGAAATTATTGCACATGCGTTCAATGAATATTGTATAAATGAAGTCGCAAAATTATTACCATAAACACCGGCCTATAACTCTTCTGACTTTTTAGGCCATGCGGAACAGTATATGCCGCTAGAATATGTCAGTGCCCAAGAAATACTGGAGCTGGGGGATAAAATTAAAAACAAAATGAGTAGTGGCATAGATGGTATTCCAGCTAATATACTGAAATATTCTTTGAAAGTGATTCTTGAACCCCTAGTTTACATAATAAATAATTCTAAATAATTCACTTAAGTATGGTATTTTTCCTGAAAATCTGAAATTAGCCATAATCGTCCCGGTATGTAAGAATGGAGACCCTAATGACTTGGTAAACTATAGACCAATAAGCCTACTTTCTTGCTTTGCAAAGCTTTTCGAACTGGTGATGTATTCACGAATTATGAATCACATGCTCTGTAATAACTTAATTGCTGAATCACAACATGGATTTATAAAAGTGAAATCGATAAATACAGCTATATTTTGGAGTTCCTCTTGGGGAGGAGGGGCATACTCGTACAATACATAAAAACACATAAAATAAACATTATTACGTGAAAACCGATAGATTTACGCATATTTAAAGCCAAATTTCGTGGTTGTATGTTACAATGACAAAGTTTGTGCACTGGAGCCTTTATAACGTTTTCGATCGATCGGTTCTTCAGCCACATTGATCATTTCATCTGGGTCCATGCACAGTCTGCACTCAGCGTCTTCCGCCATGCCCAGCCTGCTCATGTGGTGATGCAATTTACAATGACCAGTGTACAGTCCTACTAGAGCTTTAAGGCTATTCCTGTTGAGTTGTAGCAAAGAGTCTGTTACCTGCTTTGTCAAGATTGGTATGGTTGCCTTAGCTTGGGATAACCCTGCTAATCACTCCCACTATTGATGGATCCTTCTGTCCATCTTAATTCACACTATTTATTCTGACTTATGATATACTAATTACAAAGTATAGCCTTTTCACTGAAACAAAGCAGTTAAGTCATAATATGACTTAACAGCTTAAATATTATTTAGTAAATTTTAATGCCAATTTTAATGCAAAATACATCCTAAATTGGTATGTATAGTTTGAATTTCCCAGGTACATTTATATTGGTAACAGTTTTCTGTGTTGTGACACTGTCACAAAGCTTGTCAGGTAATTACACCAACAGTTTATTTGTGGTTTATTTCCTACGATCTACTAGTTTTAAGTATTGTGGTAACCATGTGTTGTCAATGTCATTACTTGACATTGTGATGTAAGTGCTTTGATTCAGTGAATATACTGTATAAATATTATGACCATTCCAATAAAATTTTGATTGAGATAACACAGAATTATACATTTCTAGAAACAACATTCTCATAAATAAATGAAAATGATTAACAGTTTACTATAAATTTTCATCACCAAAAAATAGATATTCCAAGTAGCACTCAAGGTTGAATATGTACTTGCAAACCCTCCCAAACTCCCCAAAAGGAGAGAATGAAAGAAAGTCTGACTGTACAGTGTCCCACTACAGGAAGAATGTGCTCAAGGTACAAGTAAGACTAGCTGATCAATATCCACATAAAATTTATTTCTGTTGTTCAGATTTCTCATCTTTGTTTGCCTTCTGATAAGGGTGTCTAGATTTTTAGCACCACGTACACAACTGAACAACACCTTCTCCTACTGTTTTCTAATTATGGTTAAATTTTATAAGAAATAAGCCAATTCATACTAAGACGACAGGCCTTTAAAAAAGGCACCTATACTTACAGTCATCTTTTGCTAGAGTTATCTAGAGGCAAATTCTGCATTCATAACATACAATAAAAGATTAACTAAATAAAGGTGTGCATTATATTTAGGATATGCGAATTAAGTACATGGTACTAAAAAATTGAAAAGTATTACAGCTAGTCTAATTTATTGTCTTATTATCAGATCTTTCAGGTTTATTTTGTCAAATTATACTATGTAACTTGATTGTACCTAGCATTCCCTTATATTCTGAGACATACCAATGCTGATACTGTGAATGAGAAATCTCTAGAGATCTGTAACCAATCAAATAGCATTATTTATCTGTATGAGGGAAAGTTAGGATATTATATGTTATATGGGAATGCCAAGTGCAAATGAAGCTTAAAACAAAAGAAATCTTACCTGGTGGGTAAGGCCCACTATTCCACTGCGACATGGTTATAGATCAGCTGTAAGATCAAAATTAGAAATAACATATTAGCAAAGAATTTATGAAAATTTCAAGTTAATTCAGTCAGTGGTATATCTAGAAAAAACCTGTGGAGGGTTTAGCTAACACAAAGCATTTTTTCCTATGCATGAATAATCAAAAGCTGTAGCATCTTAAAACTATAATATTGATTTTGCCATACAATAGGGTGTTTTTTCATTGCAACTGCACATATTGCAATTCAGATGATAGCTCTTTCCTGTGATATAGAAAACAATGTTCTTGCATGAAGTACATAGGTACGAATAGTTTATCATACACTGTTATCAGTGTTATCTTGCAGTTTCTCATATGCAGACACTGAATCATGCATTATTGTACTATCTAAACCACAAATATGTTACAGATATATAGACTGAAATAACTTTATGGGTTTCCCCTGCGTGCAAAATGATCTTGTTAATAATAATAGAACCTAATATACCAATAAATTTATAGCGTGAAATAGTGAAAATATCAAAAGCCGAATTATTCAATTATTGGCTCAGACCTAAAAATAACGTGTTTTCATGAGAAAATACTATAAACGAGCACAATACGATGTTATCGATTTTTTTGATTTGAACTTAATACGTATAAGGTTTGTAAAGAAGTAAGAGTCCTTGTCCCTATTAATACAAACATATAATTTTGGTAAAATAAATACTTTGAAGGTCTTGAAACCTATCGTAAAATTCTCACATAAGACATCAATCCCAATACAAACACTTGTATTTTTGGTAGGTTGCCGAACGTTTGAAATGCGGTAGTAACGTATAAAAGTCATTAAAATTAAAATCATAGAGCAGAAACTCACCCAAACGCAAATAACACAAGAGTAACTTGGATAATTCCTGTTAAAATTGTGAAAAATTGAATACTTCCACACGTTTCTAGACACTGTAAGAATTTATGTCAAACGTCAACACAGCCTTCTTCCATTCACGTACGTCAACGGCGGAAATCTGACTAATGTTTTTCCTTTATCATGTGAACATGAGACAGGGTCGGACTCATGCGGGTTGAAGGTATCGAATATATCTAGGCCATTCAACCAAAATCTCTAGAACTAAACACTTCATAGGTGGGTAGAGGTGTCGGAGTACGGAGAGGGGAGTGGAAACGTTAATGATCGCTTGGATTTGTACACCATTCGAGTTATAACGAATTGACTTAAAAGAAAGACAATCAGAAACCTCAAACTGAATATTTTATTATTATACTTCAATTTGGGGATGATTATTTAAGATGCGAACACATTTGGAAAGTTGAAAGTTTATTGGTAGATACATAAACTAATCTTGGAGGGGAACTGAAATAGCAGTTATATGAAAACTGGCACCAACTTTTCTATATACGGAGCGAGAGCGCGCGGGTCCATGGGTAATTTTTTTAATCGTCGATGTCTTCCGCGCTCTTTAAATTCCAATCGTTGATGACCATCCTTTCCCTAATCATATTACAAGGGTATTCTCAAAAACACTCAAAGGGTGGACCCATCATTGGTAACAGGGTGACTTTAAAAACAGTGGCAGTATTTTTAGGGCACAAAATGAGTCTAAGGCCCGTATCGTCAGTCGTTCCTACAATTGTAGGACGCGTTTATGGCCTCCTTGATTTCGATAATATTGTGTCTTCTTCGGTAAGGTACATGTATGTCCTGCTTTAGATTTCCGACATGCTGGCAGTTCTGGCTAGAAGTTATGCTGTTGTTTTGCCGTTTAAGAAATTTTAGACACATGAATGGAAAGCAGAACCATAATTTATTATTATCTTGCAAATAATGTCGATCACTCAACAATACTTCGCTACATTGAACAAATTCCACAACCTGTGATATCTTCAAGAAATTGTTGGGTTAGGAAAATTAATGCACATGGATATATTAGATTATAATATTATATTAGTGTGCATAAAAGTCCAACCAAAGTATTCTCTTGATGAAGGTTGGTAAGTTACAAAACAAATCATTACATATTCATACTATATACTTATCGCATTATTTTCAGGTGTGATTCATTCAAATAGACTTTACAAAAAGTTGGTTCCTCCATGGATAACAAGCATATCCCAAATGCAATTGCATTGTTGATGTCAGGATGCCTGTTCACAAATCATTACTGGACTCTATGTGAAGTGTCAAGCTACAAATATGTACAATGTGTGTATGTGAAGATCGTAATTACCATTTATCATAGTTATTTCAGGATGCTCGAAATACCATATCCATGTAGGATTATCAAATATGAAGTATTACAGGGAAACTTCATGACATAAAATTCCACAATTAATTACAAATGGAAAAATACACGAAAATTCTGACTCATCCAGGGACTCATTTTCCTGCTAAACAAATTTCAAACACTTCAAAGGACTAGATAAGCAGAAAAGACCCATTATTTTGAAAAGTGTACCTCAAAGTCAGGCTAGGTTAAGCCCCAGTAAGTGAGATGATAAGGTAATTGGGTTTCAGATAATTTGTCTTGTATCATATGCGACTTAGTTTATAAAGTTAAGTAAATTTGCTGATCATTACAGGTAGGTCTTACCTGGCTCTGAGTTACAGAATTTGATTTGAATTTAAACTTCTAGGTATAAATTGTGGTTTTAAATCACTATTTATAATTGAGACTCCAGCTACTGAGGATACCAAAAAAATACATCAGCGGCAATAATAAGATTGATGCACTGAGCCTCAAAGAACAGTACGTTGTACTTTTTAAATGTGTTGTACCATATATTAGTGTTGTAGCATAAGGAAAAAATAAGGAAACTTAAATTTTTTAGACATTTTATTAAGAAATTCAAATCTCAAATCTAACTTAAAAGGGAAAATCTATCAAAAATAGGTCATGTGAAAAGAAAGCATTTTCGGGTTGAAAAAGAAATATCAAGAATTAAACTCGTTTGATATTTGAAACAGTCGTATGAAAAGCAGAGTTTGTCAGTTATGATAGAAACAGTAAAAAAATTAAATATTGCAGTGTAACAGTGTAACACGTCAGTCACAAAAAGCAAATTCACTTTTTATTTCTGTAAGGTTGGCTCCTTCAATTATGCTTTCAAGTGCCTGGATGCATGAATTCATTCTTAGGAAGATCATTAGCCTCTTTGTAGTTTCAAAATAGAGTTGGAGTTTTGTATGCAATATCACGGTTTATACCTGCAAAAAAGATGCATAGATTCAAGAAACATCAAAAATTTTACACCTTGGTGTGGGCTGGAATTTGATAATGATATTTTTTAGAGTTAAGTCTCAAATCTTTAGGATAAGGTTCCCACTAATATAAAAAAATATTAGATAGGGCAAGGCATGTTTAAACTCCATTTCAGAGCATTTACACATTATACATACTTGTAGTCTGACACTACTCAATACAAAGTCTAACAATGATTTGTGAACAGGCATCTCCGACATTAACAATGCAGTTGCACTTGGGATACAATGTTTCTTATCCAACATCATAATACAGATTACAGAACGAACCAAAATCAAATCCAAGCGGATAACCAAAATTTCCGTATTATGTACCGCGGTTATAATATGGTTCAAATTGACACACGGGATGGTGACGTCAGTTACTCGAATCGCTTGAACGCGTTGGTTTTAACCGCGGTTTGTTGCAAGTTGTTTATTTTAGAAAAGCGCGTATATAATTTCTGATTATTTTTATTATCACTTAATAATCGGTACTTTTTTGTCTACAACGGGGTATGGAGAGTTGAAAAAAAGAAAACTTTCATAATATTAATGAGAGGAATGTTTTTTTTCCAAAAAAAAATTTTTACTGATAGAACCATGGCTTTGTAGCTATGATAACTTTCAATTCTCTAAACTTTTCCGCATGTCAAAGAAAATATTTATTGATTTAGCGATGAAAAAAGATATTAACAAAACCGTAAACAGGTGGACATCATCCAGTGAGTTTATACGGCCATATTTTAATATTCTTGTGGTATATGGCTATACAGGATACTTTTTTAAGTGTAGGAACTAGATTTAAAGTGTCCCCAACAACAGTGATGATTACAAATAATGCTAAAACTGAAGTCAGCCTGTATCAAGTTTCCCAAAAATGAAGCTGAAGTACAATAAAAATATCCAATACCCGGCAAAATTCTAACTTGTCACATGTCAAATAATAACCAGAAATATAAAACTACTCCGGAGTTGGGTAAATACCACAATTTTGCGGTGATAACTATGACATATAACAGCTGATTTATGACGTCACGGATCTTATAACCAAACTGATAACCACACTCGCTTGAACGGATCGGTAAATACCAATCCAAAATGGTAAATACCATTTCCATTTGGTTATCCGCTTGAATTTGATTCAAGAAAATATCCTTAGGCATTTGATTCATCTGTCTAAAATTTCTTAAACTTCAAAAAAAGAAACATAACATAACATCACAATTGACTTCTGATTGACAGCAGACTACAAGTCATCAAATCCCCTCCACCGACTCCACGCATAAAACTTAAAATTATCGTTATTTTGAGGTTATGTTTTCACAGCCGAACAGCCGATGTTTATATATTTTCAGCATTCGTAGAATCGTAGATATCTTTCACTTTTCCAGTTTACGTTTCCAGTAGTCAGTGGTTGTGGGACTGGCAGGGATGTGGAGTTACATGACTTCTTTCTTTTGGCCATCACAAAAAGATGACAACTTGTCCTTATACGAAGCTTGTACTATCTTGGAAACGTCATTTGAAGAACCCCAAAAATTACAAACTAAAACCAAAACCAAGGAAGATGTTCCTCATAATGCGTTCTGCCAACAAACTGGTACAATATCTGAAGAAACAGATTCAAAATACATAATTGATAACAAGTTCCCATATGAGAAAGATGGTAAAGTTTTTCCTGTTGGAACAAATGTGACCTATAGCTACTTCATGGACAATGGTAAGGCTATCGTAGTAGATGTAGACTTTGTAGATGGAGAGTGGGATGAACAACTTACTCAGAATGGCACCTGGACGACAAGAATACTTGTCTGCAAGGTACAACAACGGAAAGAGCGTAAGCTATTTCTCAATCCTGGAGACTTAGAAATAGATCTAGACAATGTTTGCATGGAGTTCATCCCTATGGTGGGAGACTGGATAGAATTAGAAGTCAAATGCTCTGTTGATGAACACGCTATTGATTTGTTTGGCAAGGTTCTTGAAATCAATAAGATAATGCCATTGAGGTCACATATGGTGATTGGTAAGATAAGTACATGGAATTCAGAACAGGAATATGGAACTATTAACAAAAATATTTATTTTGACAAAAAATCATTGGTAGGTGGATATGTCCCAGTAGCAGGGGATAAAGTCATAACACAGGTTATTGAGAGTGAGCAGGGTAGATGTGTGTGGAGGGCAGTGAAGGTAGTGCCTGAATTTATTACAAAACAAAATGGCCCTTCAACAAAAGATATTCAACTTTGTAACTTTGAGGACTCCTATCCTGAATTAAAAATAGATTATACAAAACTAAACTTTGAGAGGATCAATATTATTCAGAAGTTTGAAGTTATGATATACTGTGGATCTGAAAAGCAATTTGAATTAGTGAAAGTAGAGTTTCCAAATGAAAATACCCAGTGTAAAATTATTGAAAAACTAGATCATGTTCTAATATCAGAAACTGAGCCATGCAAGATTCAATGCGAGTGTATTCCAAGGACTATGGGTGCAAGTAAGGAATTTCTCCTACTTACTTTCAAGGATTTTAGCATTGGAAAATGGCTAGATATTAATGTGACTATACAAACTTTTAATTCTAACATCAGATTCCAGCCAAGAAATAGAAAATTGAATGATACTTCTAATGAACAAACTGTTGTGAAAGGGCAGACTGTGTTCAAGGGATCACGTTTCAAGAATATACGATTGCCAGACTATACTGTTCCTAAGAAACTTCTTAGTATAGTTGCCAGATGTGAACAAAAAGATTTAGAATTGCTTATCCAGGAGTTGAAGATTGTTAAGCCATCTCTCCATTCAAACCTTTCACATACCAACTATGAGGATAAGTTTCATACATTGCTGCATATTGATGAAATTGAAGCCCTCTTAGCTATGCAGAGATATGATCAAGAAAGGGCATGTTTTATCCAAAATGGAGAAATTTTGATGTTGGAAATTGAGAATCTTTCAGAAAGGCGTCCCTCAATACTTGTTGGTGATAAAGTAATAGCCACTGATCCTCTAAAAAGGTTTACAGTTGCATTTGAAGGTTTTGTGCACAAAGTAACTGCAAAGCATTTACACATCAAGTTTTCACTTTTGTTCCATGACAAGTACAATGGAGAGGACTATTCAATCCGGATTGTGGCTGGTAAGATATTGTTTTTACTACTACTTACTATAATTTTTAACATAAAAAAACTGTAAATTGATATTTTGAGACTTTAGGTGTATATATGAATATAATAATTTATCCACTATTATTATTTTAACAAGGGCTGATTTCATAAAGGGTTTCAGTCTGACAGGTCCTTGGATTAATCTGGTAAGCTCATTTTGCAATGATGCAACATACTGTGCTGCAAAATGCTACCTACTAGAGCTTCACAATGTTTTTGAACTCCGATCAACACTAATTTCGTGGAAGTAAAATTTACTTGAAAAATTGAATATGTAGAGGGACTATATAATATTAGTAATATTCATACAATTGATGGATTTAGGAAAAACAAAAATCATTGATTTTTGAAACATCATGTTTTTGTATTGTAGGTAGAGCTAGTTATAAACGGCTTCATCATGCAGTCTACTTAGCTGTGAGGAACTTGGGACCAGATATTTTGTTTCCAATGCGTATGTATGAGAAGGAGCCACAGGTGAAGTTTGAGCACAACTTGAGCAAGAATAACAATAATACTCCAAATAATAGGCTAAAACACCTTCAAGCTAAAATAGAAGAAATCAAAAGTAGGAAGAGCAGTGAACTTACTGCCACAGAATTCAAATTAGAGTGGTACAATACACAGCTTAATGAAATTCAGAAGAATACTGTAATTAATATACTTTTAGGGAAAGCTCGGCCTCTTCCCTATATAATATTTGGACCACCAGGTACGGGAGTATGATTCTAGATATTTGTGTCCTTATATTTTATGTGCATTCCTAGAATTCTCTTACTCAGCTTTTATGAAGTTATAATGCACAAACAACAGCCTTTTATGAAGCATTAGTTTGTGCAGAACTTCTACTGGTGCTATTCATGTTTAATCAATGAATTTGGACTAACTAGGAGGAGCTAGCATCCTAGCATGCAATTTGTTTTGGACTAAAATGACGTCTGTAGTCAGGTTGCAAATGCGTACTACAAGTCAATCAGACTTAAGCCGCCAGTTTGACAGTTCTTGAAATTTCACATTCAATTGGAATTTTCCTGCAAAAACATATATAGGTGTGTGGGTTTCTATACAGTCTTATTGTTCTAGACATAGACAATTGCCGAAAATGGTGAATGTTTCTGTAGATCGCAAATAGCAGTTTAAGTTGAATAAAAGCAGATCATTTTATCGATAAGTGTCAATATAGACATTAGTGTTGCAAAAAGGCATGTAGCTCAACATTTGGTTCTTATTGCGATAGTTTTGAGGTAATTTTGATTTATTTCATCCAACTTAATCCCCTACTTTACGACTATCCATCACGCTTTGATGTCTACTGAGGTGAACAGCTGATCAGTGATATTTTTGTGTTAATCTGCGACGTTCGCAATAATGAATCGGTTGTAAATCTAGTAAAACTGGTTTGATTTTTGTATGCCAATGAAATTTTCTAAATAAAAGAGCTTTTAGCCAGTACAACATGAATCTGTAGCATTTAAAAAGCCAAAACAATATAGCTCTGTCTACATGGCATTGACGGATCCGTCAGAATTATGTGTCCTTTGCCGATATGGGAAATTTTGAGATATTACTAGATAATCAGCTGACATTCTACCGTGATGGATACTCGTGAATATACGCCAGAGGTGCTTTCCAATGCTTTTGAATTGAGAGTTGTATGCACAGGGAGTGTGACGCTCCCGAATTACTCTAGCAAATGCGCACGGGAACGCGACGTTTGTTGATGTTTTGCTTTGACGACAAATTGTGTCACACTGCTAAACAATGAAAATGTAAACGCATTTTACTTTTATTTTCAGAAGCATTGTCAGACTATGCAATTGATGTCTGACGATGCTTTTAGAATGATGGCGCAAAACGTCAGCGGTCTGCACTTTTATTTTAAAGCTTCTCGATAAATGTGTCGAATTCATATTTTAGTGTTGACATTCAAAATTATTTTCAAAGTGTCTAGTTATAGATGAAGCCAATTACAAGCCACTATGAACCTGCATTCTTGCACTCTCTTGAGACCTTTATTATTCAGGAATATCTCAAACGTATGTTGTGACTCTGGGTCGTAACGTAACATTATCAGTTTTGACCATCCTCCATTGTCTGGTATGGTTTAATGCGAGTTTAATGCAAAAAACAAAAACGATGAAAATACATAACCTAACAATCTTGACACATTGTCAGTTTCGTTATCCCCACTATTTTCGAGCATATAACACCAAATAAAAAGCTGGTGCATGGGGGGCAGGTGATTTCAAGAATGAGTAGCTTTTTGATAAAAAACCCAACCAAGACATTAACTTTGAGTTAGGGTTACTTTGAATCTACAATCTAGACTTAGTAGTGTACCCTGTCAAGTAAGAATCATGATGTAAAGGTTTCATTTCTTTTGGATGATCATACCTTGGTTATCTTGGTAGCCGAAACGTCGATCTGTAAACAGTAAGTTTCAGGTGTTTTCATAACTGAAACATTGTTAGTTTCTTATACTCTAGCATTTATTTGTCCAATTTTAGGAACCGGAAAAACAGTAACAATTATAGAAACCATACTTCAAATATTGAGGTTACTACCTAAATCTAGGATTCTAGTTGCTGCACCTTCAAATAGTGCAGTGGATTTGATAGCTTTGAGACTGGTTGATTCTGGTGTATTAAAACCAGGGGATCTCGTGAGGTTGGTTTCAGTAAATTATGCTCTGAGTGATTTGATCCCTCCAAGGCTAGTGCCATTCTGTATCGTCGGTAGTGGATCCAAAGAAGGCACTGAGCAGTACGGTGTACAGAACGGAATTCAGATAGGTGAGTAGTTTTGAAAAAAAGGATTGGTGTTTAAAATTGAGTTAATGAAGTCCCAATTTTTTAACCGGAGTTTAACTCCCAAGTTAGGTAACTGTAACTTGGAAGTTCACTATTAGTTACCCGTAAATTCGTTTTCAACTTCTGGTTAACTAATCGGTTATTGTTGCTGCTGCAACACTGATTATTCTTGCAAAGTGTTGTGTTCTGTGATGCTTGGTGTTTGTCTCGTGTTATCCGTGACAGCCCAAGTCACTGCCAAGCCAAAAGGGTGGCAGCTTAACTATAGTAATTTTCACGATACTTTTTGACGTCTATCGCGGTGAACCGCTGATTAGCAAGTGACATATTTGTGTTAAAGTCTTTACTGTAGGCAATAATGAATTAAGTGAAACTGGGGACCGTAGGCAGAAAGTGGAGACGGCTCAAATAGTCAAAAACCGATTATTGCTTTTTTATTAATATCTCTAGTTACGGAGCTAAGACCTGAAGCGCAAAGCATACCTATATATAGTTGAAGAGCGGAGGGAAGAGGTGGTTGCTGGAACGACATTATTTTGGAGGTGCACATTTTATCTACTTTGTGTCCAATAAATCACTTTCTGGGACACGCTTAAGTCTCGGGGTCTTCTGGATCATCTTAGATACGCTCCTGCGCATATTTTTAATGTTATTAGATAATCAGCTATGATTTGCAGTCACGTTTGACGTAATGACTTATCACGAAAAATACTGTACCACTTACCAGATGGTACTCTGCTTATAGATAACTACCATTTTAGGATAAACTTAACATCGAAGAACGCGAATTGAGAGTTGACTGGGGCTAAGGGAGGAAATAATGGGGAGTTCGTAAACAGTGAAGTACCGAGTCAATCTATTTGATGTGTTTTCTTACTCAGGTGGCCACCAAAACTTAATGGGCAGAAATAGGATCACAATTTCAACATGTTCCAGTGTGGGTCAGCTATTTACCATGGGATTTCCAAAAGGACATTTTACTCATATTGTGGTTGACGAGGCAGCCCAAGCTAGTGAACCAGATGTCATGATTCCATTATCATTTCTGGATAAGAATGATGGACAAGCTATTTTAGCAGGTATGTGTCAATAGTGAAGGCAATGATATTATGTTCTAATTTAACTCTACCAAATTAATTCTTTTTTAAGGTGATCCTATGCAGTTGGGTCCCGTCATACTGAGCCAAGTATCAGTACAATTCGGTTTGGCAGAATCTTATCTGGAAAGGCTAATCAACAGATTTCCTTATATTAAGGATTTGCATAGTTTTCCAGATACATGTGGTTATGATCCCAGGCTTGCAACAAAGCTGCTGTACAATTACAGAGCTTTACCTTCTATTTTGAACATGTACAGCTCTTTGTTTTATGATGGTCAACTTATCCCTACAGTAAGTCTAGACAATATGAATACAGGATGCTACAGCATAAGTTACTCTTTCCAAAAAGCCCATTGTATGCATCAGCACATTTTTAATTTTTAAATGTAGGTGCATACCTAAAATTTTGTTTTACGGGTGATTCTACAAAGAATGGGTAACTCGATGTCATCAATCAATAGATATGAAGTTTTATTAAATTTTGTTTATATTTAATTTTATTTTAAAACAACTGAAAGTCTTATTTGGTCGCCCAATTGCAGCGATTTATTTTGAATACAAGTTTTTGAAACAATACAAAAAATCCTCAAAATTTCAGTCCTTTGGCATGCCACAATCCCAAAAACGAACAATCAAGTAGCCCTCTATTACACATTACCATTAATTTAAGAAAACTTGCTCTTTCACTACAATCTGTGATAAACTTAGTAATGTATAGTACAAGTTTCATAATATACTATTCCCACCGTTAGTTATAAAAAATTAAGAAATTTTGTGTTTAGTTCCATTCGTCAGTCCGTTGTGTGTTGTTCAAATATAAAATTCTCGCCAAAAATATCACCGACTCAAAATTGCATCCTTGTTAAATTTTAACGTCGGTAGTGAGGATCGCTGTAGACCGTGCCATTTGACAGATGCCCATACTAAGCCAATGCTAGAGTCGTGGTTAGTGTGAGTACACGTGCCGATCCAGTCAAAATATCAGTACTGTAGTGAGGCCATGTTTCTTTACAAATTTTAGTTTTATTTTGATTTACATGTAATTAACTATAATATGTCAAAATATAGCTTGTTGATATTCGAAAATACCAAAAGAAATATTAGTTCGAATTATAATCTCAAAATAAGGTCATTTTCGTCAGTACTTTGTCTAATATTGCGTCAATGGACTGACGGGCGTCTTCGGTACTGATTTTTTTTTGGTTAGATCGCTTTTACCTCAATTGCAACTGTGTGTAAGTATTTCTTTTACGTATTACAGTTTGAACCTCCTGAAAAAAAAACAGAATTTGTCTAAAGAATATATATACAGGGTGTCCGCAAAGTTGGGGTTTTCCTTTACACGACGTGTAGATCTTGAAAACATAAGCAATTTTTCTTAGTACCTTATACACCAATGTCTTAAGGGAACCGAGATAAAGGGCTCTGTCACATCAAAAATATCTGAATACCGTCCTGTAGCCGCGACCCGCGATATCTCAGACTGGTACCGGCTACTAGCTGAACCCGACGACAGAACTGGGTCGGGGGTTGGGGTCAGTGTGTCAGGTCAGTATGCAACCTTCAACCGACGGTAAAGGGTCACGCGTATAGAGGTAACGAACCCGTATAATCGATTGGGTTTCAAAAAAAAAATAATAATGGCACACTCATACACCAATAATGAACTCGTTGATATGTTGTTAATTTATGGCGAATGTCTTCAAAATGATACAGAATCGTCGCGAGTGTATGCAGATCGTTTCCCTAGACGACATCATCCAAAGCCCCGCAGATTTGTGTATCAGAGAGTCAGGGATACGGGCCATTTGGAGGAATTTCGAGGTGGGCACAGTGGGAGGCCTAGACAACCACGAATGGTGCAAGTTGAGGAAGAACTACTGAATCGCGTAGACGAGAATCCCTCAACAAGCACTAGAGACGCGGCTAGAGAAGTGCAAGTATCAAAAACTAAAGTGTGGCAAACGTCCAACGTGTACAAGCCCTTCAACCTGACGATTTTCCAGCAAGAGTGCGGTTTTGTGAGTGGTTGTTGCATCAACATGACAATAATCCGGACTTTTTGAAGTGCATATTGGTGACAGACGAATCTACGTTCACGCGTAATGGGGTGAATAACTTTCGATTTCAGGCAGAGATGTACTTAGCCCTTCTCGTCAACTGGAGAGTGAGTACTTTTTCCTTTATTTTTTTTTACTTGGTCGCCCTCGTTTCACTACAAATTACCTTTGTTATTTCAAGGGTAGTTGTTTCTGAAAAGGAAAACCCCAACTTTGCGGACACCCTGTATATATATATACATATATATATATATATATATATATATATATATATATATATATATATATATTAAAGAAGAAAAGCCGAATTAAAAGCGACTGCATTAAATTAGCTAAATACAAAGAAAAACAAAGGTTGCAATACTTAAAAAAGAATAAACGGCAAAGAAAACCTTTGGAACAACGGGCAACTAGAAAAAAATGGAAAAGATCAAGATATAGACAAAAAAGCAACTGTTCAAACAAACTCATAATTTTATAAATCAGAATACTCCTCTAAATACTGAGAACGAAATATAACCAGTTCCTGAAAAAAATAGACCCATTGTTAGCACAGACCAAAGAGCGAAAGAAGCAGAAAAAAGTAACGACAGACAGAGGAAGTCCAGAAGTAAGCAATTAAAAAAGCTCTGAACTCAACTAAACATCCCCAAAAATATAGACGAGTTGAAACGCAGTTGAAGAGAATTATAAAATCTGTTGAAAAATCGCAAAAAAAACAGAATTGAAGTGAGTGAAGTTATAACTAAAAAGAAGGACTTAGTGAAGAAGGCAAAAATTCATTAAAATTTAATTAGTAGAATGCTACACTAAAAGAAAAATCACCAGATCGGTACAAGATCAACATAGTTAACAGTTAGTTAATAGCAGTTTGCTTGTGGAGTAGTACAGTGTTGGTACTATGGGGTCGGCAAAAAGGGTCAAAGTTCTTAGGATTCGCCTTACCACCACTTTTACTACTACACTAAAACAAAAAGTCATAACGAAAAAAGAAACAGTTCAAACAAACTACGAGCCCCTTCCCACTTCAGTTGGCCCAACTATTGAAATCTTAGTTTTTTTCTTATCAAACACAAATAATAAAAATGTAGCAGGGTGTTATAGGTTTAAAATATTAATAATGAATATTTTGATAATATATAGTAGAAAACACCAACTTTATCACTCCCTAATCAAATTTGCATCATAAAAATGACACATGTTGCAATTACAGCATATCAACCTATTTTCATTTCAATGCAAAATAGGTCTATAACGCATAGGTGGCTGTGAAAAATAAAAGCCATGACAATTGTTTTTATTAATCTAAGCTGTCAGAATACGTTTAAAATTGTTTTGGCTAGTTAAGGTTTTCAAAATGGGTAGAGGAAAGGTTATTAGTGAGAAAATTCGGTTACTGATAATTAAATTTTTTAATTCTGGGAAATCAAACTCAGAAATTGCAACTTTGTTAGACTTATCGCGGCACAGTGTGAGAAATATTGTTAGAAGATATGAAGTAACTGGTTCAATCAATATTAAGCCACGATATATGAAAAAAAGTAATATCACAAATGCCGACCGAAGAGCATTAAGAAGAATAATCGTGAAAAACAGGCGTGCCAATTATTTACAATTAAGTGCTCTGTGAAGTGACCCTGTTGGAAGGAGAATTTTGAGGTCCACAACTCATAGAGAGGCCCACAAACTGGGATTTAGCACTTGCAAGGTAAGTTTTCTGATAAAAAAAGTGAAGTAAAAACCCCAAAGTTGCACAACTTGTTTATAGGCCAAAGAAAAGCCACTATTAACTCCACTGCAAAAGAAAAATCGGCTTGATGGGCTAAAGAACATAGACAATAGACACCTCAACAATGGTGTGTAATACAATGTACTGATGAGGCCCGATTCGAAGTTTGTGTTGGTGACAGTCGCAGTAGAGTTATTCGCAAAAAAATGAAGCATTCCGTGTTGACTGTCTGAAGAGAAAAGTGAAATTTCCAGCATCCATTATGGTCTGGGGCAGTATGTCATCAAAAGGAGTAGGAAAACTTCATTTTATTGAAGGAAATGTGGATACAAACATATTTGGCAATTTTAGAAGAATCGCTTTTAACAGTGATGGAAGAATGTTTGACATCCGACCAAGATTTTGTGTTTCAGCAAGTTGGTGCAGCGTGCCATACCTCAAAAAAGGCAATAAAATGGATGGAAGAAAATAATGTACCACTTTTGAAATGGGTTTCTAGCAGTCCAGATCTGTCACCTATTTAAACTTTGTGGCACGAGATGAAAATGGTTCTACGACATTATCCTGCTCGTACAATCACCGAACTGAGACAAAAGCTTCAAGAAATATGGGATTGTATTACACAAAACTTTTGCCAAAACTTGGTTAACACTATGCCCCAAAGAATTTCAGCCGTAATAAAAAATAAAGGTGATGTTACCCAATGGTAATCTTCCAATTGTTGCTTTGTTAACTTCTCGCATTTATTCGCACATTGTTTATTTGTTCAGGTGTTCTATTAGTATGTATCTTTTACGACTAGAGTGTATCTAAAATGTTTTTGAGAAAATGAATTGTTTAAGAAGTAAATTGTTTCGTCATGTTTAGCTTATAAAGGCATATTTTGGTACAAATCTTGAAGTGGGCCAACTGAAGTGGGAAGGGGCTCGTATATCTGGAAATGTAATAGACAAATACAAACTGTGGAGAATCCAAAACAGCAGTGACAACTTACAAAAACACTGGACATAAGCTTGAGAAAGTAAAAAATAATTAAAGTGGAACGTTTTGTTTTGGCAATTTTGATAAGACGATGCAGCTGGAAAGAAAGAATGTGTGTCTTATATAATTGTGAAAAGTTTTTTAATACACGTTAATAGTTACTATAACTATAAGACGTGCAGTTAATAGATTCGAAGTTTTAATAAATTCCATATGTTTCTATGAAACTGCACATTTTCTCAGTCCTATGTTACTTCCGTCAGTACCCTAGCGGTGAATTTCAGAAAAATCGAAATATCTCAAATTCTACACATAAAAGTGACTGGCCCTATTCGGAATAAACAGAATACTCATTAGATTATCTGTCTTTGATACTCAAATTTGTAGACATCTGTCTTGAAAACTATAGTAAACAAAATATGTCTAAAAGTTACCCAAATTTTGTATATTCACCCTTTGAGCATCAAATCAGATAGGTAACGTTCTCCATTCTACATACACTGAGTAAACCTATTTCTGGCGTTTGTCATGACTTGCCAGCATAGCAGGCGATATGTTGTCAATTTCTTTCTGGGCGTTTACATGCCAGTCCGAATTCACTGTCACTGTGACTTCATTTTCCTCAAAGAGCCAGGGACCAGTCGTTCCAGCTGAAGGAATTCCACACATCTCTGTGACTAGATGAATGCAAGGGCGTTTGATGAAATTCTCGAGGATTGAAAACCAATAGAGTTCTCAGGAACGACTTCGAGAAGGCGCTCAAACGCGGTCATCCGAGAATTGAAGTCACGTACAGAAAGTTTTTGTATAGTTGCTATCATGTAAGGATGGAAATGAAGATCGTCATGAAGAGTTCTCATCACAGAAGGATGGGAAAGTCCAACGGCAGACGTATGTCTACGCGTAGTATGCCGTGGTGATCGCAACTTTGAAGCTGTCATTGCCTCAACATTTTCAGGTGATCCAATGGGCCGAGAGAGTCGAGTTCTTCGTCTTGTCGCACCCGCAGTTTGTCTGCACGTAGTGACCCACGTAACAATTGATTTCTGGTCCAGGACAGGGGCCAAAGGGGCTGAAAGCAATTCCGAAAGGCGCGTTGAGTTGCGATCACAGAACATCCGCTCGAAAAGTAGGCCTCAACGGCAAGAGCACGCTCTTCACTGTTCCAACGCATGATGGCGACTGAACTGTACCGGGACACAACTTTATAAGCTTGTCTATGGACTGGATGGCACGAATTTTAAAAAAGGAACTTATGCTGCAACACCATGTAGATACAGATTATTCTAGTTACCAAAGAAGAGGTTTTTGAATAGTGTTTGAGTTAAGTAACGAAATATGTCATAATAGTAATGCCATGGCCTGTTAAACTTCTCAGAAAATGGTGGTTCAGAGGCCTTATAATATAATTTTTTTTAGATGCTTCTTTGATTTGTAGTCTTAGGTTTCATATCATTGGCATGCTACATCTTTACGTGTGCTTGTATGTAATATTTCGATACTTTCAGATTGATGAAGAAAAAAGTAAAGAAGCCATGTTGCTGGATAGTCTAAGAAGTATCCTGCCGAAAATGAGTTCTGAAGGAGTACCTGCAGTCATATTCCATGGTGTAAATGGCGAAAATTATCAAGGTGTTGATTCACCTTCTTGGTATAATCCATATGAAGCTGCTCAAATTTTCTATTATGTGAATGAGCTCTATAGAATGGGAGTCAAGTCAACTAGTATTGGAATCATTACTCCATATTTAAAACAGGTATGGTTTAACCAAATAGTAGTTATATAAAGAGAAGACACTTTGTGGAAGGCCTTTATAATCCGTCGGCCTTCCCGATTGACCCTGGAATTCATTTGCATTATAGTAGGGAAACCGATCATAATTTTTGGTTGCACCATCACGTATTAATGTGATACGATAAAACTAGTCGATTATGCCTAGGATTTGACTAGCTTTTAACATTCCATATTAGTCTGCGATGTAACTAAAACTTTGCGGTCGACTCTTGCAGTGTTACTGGTTTACAAATAATAAAAACAGCCAACTATCTGCGAGACCGTCCTTGGCTATCGAGGCGGTGTTGCCAAGTAGACTTAAAATATTTACAAAGCGGTACATTTATACTGAGCAGATTTTTGGTGGTTACATCAAAAAGTCATACGAAATAGACCAACGATTGGTCAAATAAGCAATTTGAGGTTAGAAAACTTCTGAATTTCAAGCTGAAGCACATCTTTTATTACTAAACTAAGTCGTGTGGTATTCCGCGTATGGGCTTAAAAGTTAACTAGCTATGTGATAACTTGCAGGTTTTGAGATTAGCTTCTCTTGCGAAAAGTGTGATTGATAACCTTTTGATTAAAACATTTATCTCGTAGATTGCAAATGGATGATACATACCCTCGCCATTAATAAATGTCCACTACAAGTGATGGTCAATGAAATCATCCAAAAAGTATTATCTATCTGGCAACAACGCATTTATTTCTGTCTAAATGAGAACAGCCGTGTTTAGACGCCACCATCTGTTTTGTGGACACCATGTTTTTGGAGTAATGTTTTACCTCTTTCTAATTTTATTCGGCTTGTCTAACTGTCTACTCTTTAGTTTAATAACGTGGTTTTACACTTTGTGCTGGGTGTAAGCTATAATCGTACTGCATTCTTCGTAATTCAGTAAATAATGCCTCATCTCCATTCTGCCAGTCTGATACCTTTTTATTGATATTTGAAGTATAGATGCATATGATGATCTTTTGTTTGGAAGAAAGGTGATTTACCAATTCTACTATGATCGCAGTACTTAGGCCCCATTATGGCATTTGAAGGATGTCGATGGACCCGAGATTCTCATTTTTTTAGTTGAAGTAGTAGTACGAGGGTAAATCAAATATAAACGGTATTTTTTTTGTACGTTTATTGAACAATATTATGCCCTTATTACTCTTTTAACATTTTTCAATATAGTCTCCTGCGACGTCTACACACTTTTGCCACCGCCTTGGAAGCTTCAGTAGTCCCTTTTCATAGAAAGTTTGAGGGCGAGTTGTAAACCAATGATTCCTTCATAGGCGCGAACAAAAAATAGTCACATGGGGATAAGTCAGAGCTATACGGAGGGTGTTCAGGGTTCCCCACCCCTTTTTTCTCAGTGTATGCCTTGTCAAAGCCGCGGTGTGGGACCAGCGTTGTCATGGAGGGAATCACATCCCTGATGGACATGCCTCATCTTTAGTTCCGATAAGCGGCACACTTTCATAGTTGATACCGACTTCTGTTGAAATTTCTTCCACGGTCACAAGACTATCACGTTCAATAAGCTCTCGAACAGCACGAATGTTGTCACCTGTAAGGCTTGTCCTTGGACGTCGATCATGTGTTTCGCTTTCAACCCGTTCTCGTCCGCCCTTAAATTCTCTCGCCCACGTAAACACTCGATTCTGGGACAGTACTGTTTTCAAACCGTGCCCGCAAACGAGTTAAAATTACCGACGGTTTAACGCCTTCATTGATTAAAAAGTTTAGTATTATCCGTTGTGCAACGGATGAAGGTACTACTTACTCAGTCATGGCTGTACTGGCGGCAACAGCGCGCTTGCCCGCCAACCATACCAGTTACCCCACTCCTCACAAACCAAGCATCCTCTCCACACAACATAATGTAGCTAGGAATAGAATTCTAAGAAGAATCGCAAAATTACCACTTATATTTGATTCACCCTCGAAGTTCGGAACTTAGAAGAATGATTAACGTGAGTAAAGAAATTTGTTGTTTTTGATAGGAAAATATAGAGACGGAACATTTTCGATCATATTAGTGATGACCTGAGAAAAACTACAGCAAAGCCAATGTGTTGTTTTTGTCCGTTTTTGTTCATTTTTTCTTTCAGATTACTCATTTTTCTCACTTTTTCGAGGGCGCCGGCCTGTCAACACCTTGTGCACTTTGTAAATCATCTCTAAGGTGTTGTCCATCATCTGCGTGGTGTTTTCTTAACAACTTTTTACCGTGATACATGTTGAAGTTATAGACTATCCCCTTCCAACCCAAAATGATGGGTTTTTTACAAGCTTCTATCTAACTTCAGTTGTTTCTTAGAACTGAATATTGAATCATTTAGCCTTAACTGAACTTTGTACTCACGTTTGGTTTGTGTGTCATTACAAAATGAATTAAGTGCAGCCATTATGAATCCAATGTGGCGGATGCTACAAAATGACCAGACATAATTTCCATAGTAACTCCTATGATATGGATATCAAACGAAAGGGCTTGATGAGAAAAACAATAGAGTCTGGTTTTATTGATGAAAGTTATTCAAGGGGGTATTTAAAACATGGACACATGAAATGGATACACCAGTTTTTGTGTGAAAATTGTTTATTCGACAACAAAGAATGAGAGAACCCGTTTTCTGGGATTCAATCGAAAGTGTTTGCAGGAACGTAAAAACTCTTCAAGATCCGACTAACAGTAAAAAGGTTATGGCCGAAAACCGAGGCAAAATGCAGGTTTTGGCACTTGTTGCTAATGCGACGATAACTTCACGCAGCTACTTGAAATTCCTCAAATCCGTAGGCTTCATACTCCTAAATAACCACAACAAAATTGGGGTCGATTGATCAAGTAGTTTTTGAGACTTTCTAATTGTTTATCCCAAAAATCCTGTCTTCCGGCCACCAAGACTAGTTTATTGAGCAATATGCAGGCTAAGTACAATACACAATCTGCATTTATAAAAATTCTTTTTTGGAATTGCCTGGGCCTAAGGGATATTAAAAAAAACGGGTATTTCATCAAACTGTTTTGGATGAGAGTATAGACATAGCTCTGCTTTCTCGAATTATTATTTTATACGCGCTGACAGATTGACTGGACGTAATAAAAGGTGATAGACACATCCGCTTTGTTTTAAAATGTGTATAATATCGTATGTTTTTCGAATATCGTAGCGAATCTGGTCATTTACTCACATATGTGAAATGTTTGAATTTGTTTATAAGAAAAAAATTTAACCCTTCGTTTTTCGTATAAAGATAACAATTATTTTTGGGAATGGTTCGTGATTCACGTCCGCAAGGTGAATTCCTGTATTTTGCTATAAAATGACCTTGGAAAGAAATCTGTATATTGCTCAGTAAACTAGTAGTGATCGCCGGAAGACAGATGTTTTGGCATAAACAATTAGATCTCAAAAACTGCTTGACCAATCGACTCCAATTTTTTTGTGGTTATTTAGAGGTATGAAGCCTACGGATGTGAAGAATTTCAACTAGCGTGAAATTATCGCCGCATTAGCAACAAGTACTAAAACCTGCATTTTGCCTCGGCTTTTGGCCATAACTTTTTTACTCCTAGTCGGGTCTTTTTACGTGAGGTCTCATTTAGTTGGTCTCATAAATGCCTAAAAATCTTATTTGAAGACTTGTTTCGTCCCTGCCAACACTGTCAATTGAATCCCAAAAAACACGTGTTCGCATTCTTTGTTGTCGAATAAAAAGTTTTCCCACAAAAATTGGTGTACCTATTTTATGCGTCATTGTTTTAAATATCCCTTTGAAGAACTTGCATCAATAAAACCCGACTTTACAATTATTTCGGGGAAATTTGCTAATATGATTAGACTAATAGGTAAAGTGACATCATTCTAAATCCAATATGGCGGCCGCTGCAAAATACCGGTTTCCATATTTTATAGTCACCCCAACGACATTGATATCAAATGACAGGGCTTGAAGAGAGAAACACAATCAGCATAGTGATGTCATTATAAATCCAATATGGCGGTTACCGCAACATGGCGATTTACATTTTTTCCTGTCACCCTTATGATATGTGTATCAAATGAAAGGGTTTTATGGAAGAAACAGTGACGTCATTCTTAATCCAGTATGTCGGCCGCCGTAAAATGGTGACTTCGATTTTTCATAGTGAGCCCTATGATACGTGTATCAAATAAAAGGGCTTGATGAGCGAAACGCGAAAAGAAAGTCACTCCAAATTCAATGTGGCAACCGCCCCAGAATGGCGTTTATGATTATGATCGTCACCCCTATGACATAGGTATCAAATTAAATGGCTTTATGAGAGAAGCATAACAAACAACGCGATGCCATTCCAAATCCATTATGGCAGCCATCGCAAAATGACGAATTATAATTTCTATATTCACCCCTATTCTATGGGTATCAAAACTCTGCTGTGTGGGTGTCTACGTACAAGCCTATGCTGATGACTTAAGCATAGTAGTTAGGGGACGTTTTTGTAGAACAGTCTCGAAAATTATGCAGGGCGCTCTGCGCTCTGTGGAATCGTGGTGCAGGGAAGTCAATCTTTCTGTTAATGCTGAAAAGACCGAGCTGATCCTATTCACTAGGAGAAGAAGGCTTGACGGGCTGGTCATGCCGACCTTTGGGACTAGATTAATTCTATCCCCATCAGTGAAATATCTGGGAATTATCCTGGATTGCAAACTGAACTGGCGAGAGCATGTTGGATACAAGGTTAGCAAGGCCCGCAATTCAATGTGGGCCTGTAGACGTGTTGTCGGTGTAAGGTGGGGGCTTAAACCCAAAGTGATATACTGGCTCTACACGGCGATAGTACGTCTATCTCTCTTGTACGGCTCCCTGGTCTGGTGGCCTTGCATTAGAACTGAGACAACTAAGGCCAAACTCAATAAAATTCAGCGTTTGGCCTGTATTAGCATTGCAAGCGCAGTGCGAACAACTCCATTGAGTGCAATGGAAGCTCTGTT